ATAAATTATATACAAGTTGGTCTAGTCAAAAATCCGCAACAGGCAGGCAATAGGGTTGTAGATAGTTTCGTTTAGTGCGCTTGTCCGCTTGCTCAGCTTTCTTCACAAACGGCTGGGTGTTAACCACTGTGCAATACTCTGTATACGAGCAGCTAGATGCTCATTCTGGGCAGCGTCATTTAAATGATGGAATTTTGTTTGATTACCCAGACACCCTTATACCCAGTTATATTGCAGAATGAATATGCTCGTTTTTCGTTTGTTACTAGTGCATTAAAAGCTATAAATGTTTGTATGCTCAGGAGAGAGCTTTTCGAGAGCAAATCATCCACGTGAGAGTAACCTATTATTGCTATGAATACTTCTCCTTTAGTTTCTCTCCGTGAAAAAGGTAGAGGAGTAAATTTTGAGGCTGGTGTAGGTCAAGAACAAAAAATATTATATTCCAAGTTAAATTTTATAAATTTTAAATAAGGCCATATATAAACAGAAATCGAACTCGAACGAAGCCCAAAAAATAAGAATTCAATGAAAAAGTATGCGAATCTAAATGCCGGAGTTGTTAATATCGGCCGCGCGAATGACGAGAGTGGACGAGTGCTAAAAATGAGTGAAAGTAATAAGTAGTGAGAAACTCGAAGACGCACTGATTGAGTCACTGTTACCTTGTATACAATGAAGAATTCCAGAGGCGGATTATCTCCGACTAAAGAGATAACTACTAACACTTATAGGCGAGCAGTGCAATTGAATGGCAACGAAGTGCCCGATGAAAATAAGGAGCCAAAGGAGTTTTGCATGCCGATTGGCAATATGATAAACGATTCGATCTCACAATCATCTTCAACAACATCGTCATCRTCATCATCATCTTCAACATCAACGTCAACAACGTCAACTCAGCCGCATGGCGAGCTATTGCCGAAAGCCAACTCTGAATCAGTAGAGCATATTTTCAATGCACCAACGTCAAGTAATGCTGTCCCTGTATTGCCAACGACAGCAACAGCCAATTTGATGTCTGAAATTTTGTTGAGACAACAGCAACATGATATGCTTCAGCATTGGTCCAAAATGGAGGAGCGAGATCAGTTAGAGGGCAGTTGCAATAATCGTGACTCAATATTGGCTCATTGCATATACAATAGAAATAAATCGACACAAAGGCAGCAGCAGCAGCAACAACAACAACAACAACAACAACAACAACAACAACAATTGCTGGCAACACAATTACTATATGCACAATTTTTGCAACAGCCTCATTTGTCCTTGGATGTTCATCAGGAGCTCCAGCGAGAGCGTAGGCTACAAATTTTTGAATATTCGGGTTTAACGAAATCGGAGCCAAAAGMTATCCCATTAGCAACGCCATTGCCATTGCCATTGTCAACGGCAATATCGCATGACAACAATAACAATAATCGAAATGGAGTCGTTGAGCAACGGGGCAGCAGATGTATGTCAGGCAAGCGAAGGTCATCACGAAACAGCGCAACCGATTCAAAGGTTTATTTTTTTCGAGAGCAGAAGAATGTGTTGTTCGATGTCAAGAAGGGACTAGAGCAGCTGACATTACTTTGCAGTCAATTTCAGCTAAGTCTCATGCAACCATCATCGACGGCACAGACAGCTATTGATGAAGACAACAACAACACAGCAACCAGCGCGTCCGCCGTGTCACTTGAACTAACCGTGCAGCGCGAGTTAGAGAGCAATCGAATGAAGATCGATGGCATGCTGAGTCAAGTGCGTAAGCTCTATCATCAGTGGAGCAGTGCCGAGCTCTACTATCTACGCAGTCTGCAGCGCTTGGGCCTGCATCCGGATAGCAGAACGATAAACAGCAGCCAGTCGCCAACGCACAATGTGATGGCTTTGGCTGCGATTGCGTTATCAGCTGAGTGTGATACAGCGTCAAATAGCAAAGCCGATGTGGAGAGCATCCACAAGCAGGAGAACTGCAACAGTAAGCCTGAGACAATTTCGTCGGAGAATCGGCGTACGCTACAAGATATTGAAAATATTATTATACAGCAAGCAGCCGCATCCGCAGGAACTGCAGCATCTGGCACTACCCAACAAACAAAGCTATCCAATTCCAGATACGAGAGTGCCGAAAGCAGCAACAGCGACGACGATGACGAGCTCGATGAAGATTGTTCATCCTCACCTGCTTGTATCTGGCACTCGAAGCACAACGCGCACCCGGCTGAGACAAATGTTGTTGATGCAGCCGAAATACTGTTAGAGTATACTTCGCTGTCAACAGTGCAGGCAAAAATGAATGCCCGAATTGATGCTGCGCCTGCGTCTACTCCTGCAACTTCAACTGCTTCTCTTTCGAATACCTCCGTCTTAAATCTAATGCCCAGTAGCCAGCGCGGCTCGCTCATTCGAGAGTCAGTGTCAAGCTGCGGCAGCGATCCAGCCTATTTGGCCGACATACAATTCCCACCCACACCAGCCACGCCGCCGACCAGCAGTAATAGCAGCTGTTCAACAGTCACTGGAGGACCACTTCCACTCAAGTGCTCGAGTGCCACTCTGGCACCGGCTAATACTAGTAGCAGTAGCAATAGTGCCAAATACCATCATCGGCGCAAGTCACGCTATGCACGCCGCATTGCAACTCCTACGAGTCAGTTGGACTATCAGTCAAGCAAAGAGTTGAACGGTAACGCGTATCAAATCAGTTCGCCATCAATGTCTTCATCTGTTGCATCATCCGCCACATCTTTACCTCCGGGGTCATCGGCGGCAGCAATAGCAGCAGCAGCCCTTCAGGATAGGCATTCGCCAGCAGCAGCTGTTGCAGCTGTTACAGCTATGCAGGAAAGAGCCCTAAGCGATATTTTTAAGGCACAGTTTGACGCTCTTACTTCGGCTGCTGGAGCTGGAGCTGGATCTCGAGCTGGAGGTAGAATTGGAGCGGGGACTGGAGCTTCATCGGAAGGTGTGCTAAATGAAAACTGTGATGGGTTATCCACTATGCCTATGTCTGATGCGCCCTACGATTTAAGCATTGGAAACAGGCTAAACAAAATGTAAATTTCTTTCATAAATATTTTGAAAATTTTGTATACTCATTCACGAATGTGATATGAGTATATTTGTTTTGTGCAATGTCCGTCTTGTCAGTCCGCATTAACGCAGTTTTCGGCATTATTGAAGCTAGTGACATGAAATTTGGAACACATACTCGTGTATATCCGATACATAAAGTATTAATTTTTTCCCGATCCGCCCACTAAGGACAGATAAAAAATAATGCAAAAATTATATGTCTATAGTGATTTTCCAAAATCTGCTAGAAAATTATAGAGACCTGAAATATGATATATCTACTCGGGCTGACCACCCAAGAACAAAAAGTTATGGCGGATATATGTCCACCCACAGGGGGTGCTTGATTGAAATCACAAAAGTTGTTAACAAAAGTTGTTAAAAATTGTTAACATTCATGAAGTGTCCGCACTCTAATGAAAGCTTTTAAATAAGTGTTTCTGTACAAGAGTCAGAATTAGTTAGTTTAAAAAGACAGAGATTTTATTGGTTTGTGAGATTTTGGCATACGGATACACCAACACCTCTTACATCTCTGTGTCAAATACTGAAAAATAGGTATTCATCGCTGTCCAAGCGTAAAATAAATGCGATATTATTTCCTTGGTCGAGCAGTCTTGCCTTACTCTTACCTGAATTAGTTTACAGGTTGGCTTAGTTGTAATGAAGAAAAGAAGAGCACATACATACGTTTTATTTAGGTATAGTACTCGGTTCAAGTATAGTATAAAAGTTACTACTATTCTTAAGCTTATTTATTTATTTTGTTTCTTATGTGGTTTATTTGTTTTCTTATGTGGTTCCGGTTATCATGAATGAGAAAATATACATATTTAATATTGTTTTCTCGACAAAGCCGAACCTAATTTCTATTATTTATCTAATTGATTAAAAATAATAGCTTCGTTTTTTATTTTCAGAAACTTGGATACGAAAGGCTCCTCAAATTCGCAAGCTAACGACTGTAAAGATAGTTCAAATGATAAAAAAAAACCACATATCAAGAAACCATTAAATGCATTTATGCTATATATGAAGGAAATGCGAGCCAAAGTAGTCGCTGAATGTACACTCAAAGAGTCAGCGGCGATAAATCAAATATTGGGTCGGCGGGTAAGCTATCTATCTCTCGCTCTCTCTCTCTTTTAAT